TACACAAAACAGTAAAGAACCTAACATAGGATATAAAACAAGCTTCGTATATAAAGTTATATTTTTTTATGATACGCAAATTGTGTATACAGCAGCAAATAAAAGTACAGAAATAGTCTGACCAAGTTAATTTCTAGAAAAATGGAACGCCATTTCGGCTTAGGGTAAGGGTGGTAAATCACCAGAGTGGGGTCAAACGAAACATATCCGCCGACGTTACACTGCGTCGCCAGTAACTGCGCCGGCCAAGGACGGTGCTATACTTTAGGCATTCTTTATTACACAGAACTAAACAAGAGATTTGGATAATACATTTTCGTATTTGGCTTATGAAGCAGATACGACTTTATTATGTTATCACATGTTTACGTTATTTTTTTTACTTAAATATGCCTATTTCAGGATGTTATATAGATTTTTTCGTCACTATACTTATTTTAAAAAGTTTTTACTATTAAGATTATAAACAGATTCTGTATTATTCCAAAAACACATAGCTAAATATGTGTTTTACTCTGACCGCCGTGCCTCTGGTTAATAATATCGACTCTAATATCGGTTGATAATAAGAATGTATCACCACACTGGTTTCAATAGCCATGATTTGTTATGGTTATGTTATAAAAGGCATATATAACCTAAAATCTATTTGAAACACTGTCTAATTTTTATGGTAAGGTCCAATATTGTCAAAAAAAATTTCTATTAATCATTTATGATGACGTAATTTCTGGAATCTCTTTAAACTTAATACATTTATCATCAAAGGCTGACACTCTTTAGATCCTTGATGCTATCTCAGAAGTTAATGGTCCGCAGAGGACACTTTTGCAACAAGGAATGTCATCATTATAATTCCGTCGAGAGAGTAATCTACGAGAGTCATATCTTGTTCTGGATATTTCTGCAAAATGAAATTTTAAGGTTTACACAATCTTTAAGAGTGACCTTGTTTATTAATTTCTGTTTGGATTAACTTCATAGTTCCAAAAGTAATTAAAAACCGTACTAATTAGATATACTAATTACTTCTTCAGGATAAGTTTTCTCTTAAGAAATGTTAAACACTGTATTTTAATTTGCTTGATTAGTTTCTCGAACTTCAGTATCTTTTTAATTAGTGTAAAAACTACATTTTTGTATTCTAATTGGTCTGAATGTCAGAAATAATTTGAAAAATAAGATATGGATACACTTTAATTATGTTAACAATTTATTACGCAACACAGGTTTACAACGACTTTTTGTTTCAGTGTTATATGTAACTCAAACATTCGTGGAATGAGAGACATTGTTGCGACTTTGAATAATTGTGAATGGTATCACGCGCTTACAGAACAAACAATATTTTCATAAATTTGTTGTAACAGAACACATATAACTCCGTCTTGAATTCAGTTTACTAAGTTGGTGGCGAAATAAATTCAAAGTTTTGTTACTTTGTATCAAATCTTTAAAGAATTGCTCGAATTGAATTGTAAAAATATCCAGATTTGAATTTTATTCTCAGTGTGTCCGTATCGAAGAGCGATAAAAATTTACACCGTTGAAATGTGTACTCAATGTTATTTATAGTCAGGACTTTGTTGCTTTATTTGTGAGCCATTCCGTTTATTAGAAACGTTTGTTACAAAACAAAGCTTTCGAATAATTTGTTTGAGCGGGAAAAACATAATGAGATTTTGTTGCTATCAATCTTTATTGGTTTGAAAATCGTAGCTTTTATTGCTCTCTGGCATTTAAAGCATCTTTCTAAATCAATAAATATATAGCTTTAGATACAAAAGCCTTTTAGAAAAATAAATCGTGTGAAAATAAATTCCCCACGTATGTTATAAACAATTTTCAAAGTAAACATGAATAGGTCTAAATGTGTCGTAATATTATGATTCATTATTTAACGTACGTAAAAGCAGTGCAGGTGTATCCGAGGCGAGCTCGGCTGGCGGCTGGCGGCACATTATGATAAGTAAACGGTACTCGTGAGTTATATCTCCGCAACTCGACCAATTAAGCTCCCTGCACACTGCAATGCTATAGATATTTTAAAACTATATTTATGCCTCTTGTCTATCTTATTGTTTTATAGCTTTACATTCATCATATCCCTGCCCTGATTCCGCTCTATATGCGGGCGTTTATCGTAGGTTTTTGTCTCATATCGATATATGATTCAACTTTCAGTCGTCATAGTTTGACTGTATTTTTTTAATAAGCTCCCATCTCTACTCTTACTTGTATCCTACTATAAAGGTTTCTCACAAACGAATCATACGTAAATATAACTTTACTAGCATTCACCCGTGACTCCGTCCGCGCGGAATAAAAAAACAAAAGCAAGTAGCCTATGTGTTCTTACAAACTATCCTCTAAATCTCTATCAAATGTCATCGAGATCCATTTAGCCGTTTAGACTACAAACTCTAACAAACATCCATCCATCCATCTATCTAAACTTTCACATTTATAATATTAGTAAGAAGTAAGATTGTACAATGTCATTACACACAATGCTATTGCTTAAGCTGTTTGTATAAAATATATACGTCTGTTTCGTATAATTTGTTATTCCTTCGTGAAATATAGGCCCTGTACCTCCTGGGGGGAGTTATTACCGGCGAGAATAATAGAAGCGTTTCGTATCTAATGAAGCGACGGCTGCCTTGTGCGCCGATTCTGGATTAATCAAGGGAGACCCGCTGTACAATACAAACAAATCAATACGAGTATTGATAGCTCATTACCAACATTCTAAGGTGGGATTGTGTTACATTTTAATATTGGAAATAACATTGTTTAAATATTTCTTTATTCATTTTATACCATCATACTTAATATTATAAATGCGAAAGTTAAGATGGATGGATGTTTGTTAGAGTTTGTAGCCTAAAGGGCTGAACGGATTTCGATGAAATTTGTTATAGATATAAAGGCTAATCGGAAAAACACATATGATACTTTTATTTTTTTTAATTCCACGCGGACGGAGTCGCGGGCGAAAGTTAGTAATACATAAATGGGATTTGTTTTAAAAATGTAGCTATAAAACAAGCTAACGTATAAAAATTAGAACGATAAAAGTCGTATAAATAGCAAGGATAGAAACAATCGTAAGCATAACTGTCGTAGCTTGAATTTATTGTTCAGACAGATCGATGGCATTACCCTAAAAATCGAAGACTTCTTAGAATTCAACAGACACGCCTCAGCCGTCGTACACGCTACGCGGCAAACGCAAAGGCGGGGCCTTATAAATCAATGTATGTAGAGTCGGGGAAATCCGCGGTGTCCCACTTTCAGAAAAACTGCCTTGTTGCTTACAACGAGATAAACTGATGACAAAATAGAACCATGTACCATGCGTCTTTTCACGTACAGACATATTTAGGGTGCGACCTATTGTTTTTTTGTGTCGTCTCAATGCGTACAAAATATCAAGCGATTAGTTTTAAAGTATGGACACCGCAAGATTCTCTGATAGTACCAACGTATTCCCCCGTATCGCTTAACTGGTTCATAGCACGAAACTGATATTTTTCCAAGCATTCCTCCATCAAAGCAAATGATCCTTACTTTGTTACCTAACGAAAGGCTTTTATTGTTTCCTATCACGATATTGTATGGGTCTAAAAAATGAGGTTAATGGAATATTGAGTCTGTCTTAAGTTATATATAATCTACTTATCTTACTTATTATAAATGCGAAAGTATAGATGGATGGATAGATATTTGTTAGAGTTTGTAGTCTAAACGGCTAAACGAATCTGGATAAAATTTGACATAGATGTAGAGCATAGACTCGAAGAACACATAGGCTACTTAGTTTTATTTTTTTAATAAAACGTGGACGTTGTCGCGGCCGAAACCTTGTCTTAATATAATTTTAGGTCTAATATTTGTATTACAAATTGTCCGTTTTAACGTTATCTTCAAGAAGATATCAATTTTTTATAATTATTACGGGCTCTAAAAATAAATTCATTACAAAAATGCGGCCGTACGGTTTGAAAAATAAAGATTCCGTTTTCGCTCCATTTGCAAAGCGAAGTAACAAAAAGGGTGAGGCCAAAATAATAGGCATAATGCAGAGAAGGAGAAATGTATATATAATGAGGTTTTATTTTCTTTTGATCTTCACAAAGGCTTTTTGTTTGATAAAGTTTTTCGCTGAATGAACTCTTCAAACACTGACACGTATTATTAAAGGGTCCCATTCTGCTTCAATCGTTTCGATATATATTTTTTATAACTTAAAAGAAATGTATTGGTCATACTAATTTGATGTCCTGAAAGTTTGTGGATTATATCATACTGGTTTCTTTTCTCGAGTCAATAGCTTACAAATATTCGACTATAGTGCAAAACATAACAACTGTTGTATTTATTTAATGAAATATGTTTTGTAAACACGACCACACTTTATTTTATTGTTGTGAATATGTTTACAAATAGGTTGAATAGATTTAAACACCAACCGTTTCAATCTTATCTTCAGTGATATTTAAATAAATTCAGTGTACATTTTTCATGAGAAAAATCAACGTGTGACATCAAAATTCATAAACACTAGATACTGCTTGTTGATAAACAAATGCGTTATGTTAGACGATCGAAAAAGTTATAATCAACGCAGCCACTCTGCGCTGCCGTGCATGTTGAACTTTTAATTGAACTTGTTTTCCAATTCTAAACATAACACCTGTGTGTTGTCTCCGAAATTTTTAGAATAAAAACTCGGTTGTCCTTCTATATTCTATTGGTCTACTATATGTTTTCATTCAATACAAAAATATGGACGCATTTCACAAAATTATGAAGGTATTTAGCTAATAAAAAAACTAGTCGTCCTCACAAGAAATAAAAAAATATACTTGACTCTGACTCAATCAAATATCAAGATTGTTCTTCTGCAAGAAATCATTTCGTTAATTGACAAGTTCGCACTGGCAACTTTTGTCCATAAAAAATAAAAAAGGTAAAACTAGTTCTATTCATTTCAGGTTCAGATGCGGAGCCAGTATGGAAGTTGCAAGACTCTCAGTTCGACCAGGGCTACGGATCTGAGCGGTCGCCGGAGGAGGAGTACGTGGCACCCTTGCCCCTCGCGCCCCTCGGCGCCCTCGCCGCCGCAACCTCCCTCGAGGAGTATGAGGCGGAACTACGCAACCTCTACCCATTTATCACCGAGGGTAAGCCTCGTAAATTCTTTCCTATAAAGCTATTCCCTTCAGAATGTTATAGCACTAATATTATAGTTTATATTATACCAGCTTTTGTTGGTGTTCACTGTCAACGCTATACTTAAAAATAGGGATGGAATTCAGGTTATTTAAGATAATTTATAATTGAAGTAAAAGTTTATAATCTACACACAAATTTCGTCTACAATAAAAATAAAATGTGATGAACAAAGAAAATCGGAATAAACTTTATTTTCTACGATGTTGGTTATCTTCGATATTAAGGTAAAGGAAATGTTTGATTTCAATAAACCGGATTTGAGTTAGTACATATCTATTTGACTGTTTTTTTCTGTAAATACAAAATTCTAGTCTGTGACATCATTCGTAAAAAATACAACCTTGCTAAAGGTTGATGCGGACATCTGTTGACATTTTATCGAAATGTTAAATAAATAAATATTGTTAATTCACACTTCTAACTGCTATTGAAGCATAAACATAGCAAATAGTTTTATGCACGAATTGAGTTGTTTAAATTATATTTAGTTACGAAAAATGTTCTTCAATAAATACTAAATAAAATATTAAGCTATAACATTAAATTGGATTTAGTTTTCATTAACTAGTTATAATTATCACCGTTTGGTCAATGTCGAGTACCGAATGACGTACGCAAAAACGTAACGCCAGCACGTATCCGGGTAATTGAACTCACAAAAACACATTCAGACAAAAGTTTCCGTTACACAGTGTTACAGTACACGTGCGTGCGTTTCAGTATCCTTATCTTTATTGGCACTATCTTGTTGACTAAGCTGAACCCGCTTCTCTTCTGAGAGAAGCTTCTGAGCTTTTATAGTTCTAGCTGAAAACAATGTATGCATTACCAGGTGTCACGCCGAACAATGCTTGTATTCTTATACTACAGAAGTTGTATAGTACATTTTAAGACTTACATTGTGTGAAAGATAATACGAGATCTTACTTAAAATGACATCATTACCGTCACTGAGCTATTGTTTAGATGTATTTGAACATTTTTGAAATTAAATGTAAATATTTATAGTCATTCGGTATCAAGAACCGCCTATTTTTATCTATAAGGCTGGCAACACTTCTGCAGTTCTTCTGGTATTGCAATTTTCCATAATGATTTGTGTATCAGTTCCCCCCGCTTATTGCCCTTTCTCGTGTAATGAACAATACTAAAAGGATTTTTGTGAAATTATCAATAGCAAATGTCAAAATGACATGACAATACAAATCTTGGTGTTGATATTGGCAGCAACTTATGGTCTCTTTTCCACATTAGGGTTTTTATCTAAAATATTTAGCCATTTATTTGAAAATATATAGCCTAAAGCGTGACGTAAGTGTAGGGCTTTGTATTAAGGAAACAATTATTCAAAAATATGCTGTAATTGCTGACATCTTAGGCAACAAAGAAGTGTGTGTTCACGCTTTATTATAATAGTATAGATATATTGGAGTAAATTAAACGCAATCGCACCCGTCTGTGTACAGAGGTGCGAAGAGCTTAATGTCAATACATTCATCCGTAACTGGTAAACAAGGCGGCGGAGATCCCTCGGGAAATGGGGAGTGATTAATTTACTACGACGCTCTAGGTGTTTGAATAGAATACTCAATATTAACTATTGTTTATTAAGTTTGGAGCGTATTATGGGATATAAATTTACGTTTTGATGTTTAATTAAAGAGTATTCTGAATAGGTATTTAAACCGTCGTTTGATTAACTTTATTCAGTTTCTTAACTTAAATGGTTATCTTGATTCTATAAAATATAATGTTAATGATTAAGAGTTAGAGAATATTGAACTTTAAAATTTTGTGCTCTATTCTTGTTATTTTAGCTTGTTAGTTTAGTAGCTCATACTTTTACCCGAAAGAGTTATCTTCTCATTGTTTATTACACACATTATTTCACGTACGTGTTCTCATTGTTGCGACAGTTGTGATCGTCGCTCTAACAAAATCTACACAGCGTGACGTCATTCGTTTGCAGAGCCTCACAGCGGCACGATGACATGCGCGACGTGTTGCCGAAACGAATTTCCAATGAATAAACAAATGCGATACCGTAGCAGCTTCGAAAAATATAACTAAACAAAGAAATTGGTATCGTGGAATTGGATACATTCCGTGAATGTACACAAAAATTTCTCCTCACAGATCTAAAGTCCGCATCCCCTTTTCAATTTATCCAGATAAGACTCGGAAGGAGTTTACATTTGTTGACTTTCCGCAAATTCGGGAGTTTTATATATTCTTATCGTTGCTAACCGAATCGGCCATCTTGAGTTTTGGTGTACAGAATTTTATTTCATGCAATATTTTTCAATTGATATAGGGATTTTTACAAATTAAAATAATTGGATGTACTTGTGCTCAATGCATAGAGCTAATATAGGCAACTTGACATTCTATTTCGCGATGGAAAATAACACGAATTTATTGCTTTTGGTGAATGATCAATTATTGATAGTTAGGCATACCATTTGTAGATTTTTAAATAGCTTCTGTAATAATTTCGTTGCACCAACTAACACTGAAATAACTAAAGTGATATTCGCGTGCTATAAACTAAAAAGATTTATCATACAATGACGTAAAGTGTGAAATAAAAATATTATTCTATCTTTGCCTTTTGAACTATTTATTTTGCGTCGTCTCAAGACACGCTCGTGCCTCGGGAGTCTTGATATTTTCCGGGATGAGAAACAACAGATCCATTTTACCCGGTACTCCAGTGTATCTGGCCAAATATATTTTATTTGACGTGTAGACCCTTTTCATAATTCAAAACTATTTGGTTGACACAAGTTGAAATTTAAATGATGCCTTTGAATTTGATAAAGCGAGGAATTATTAGCTCGCAAATGGTAGTTAATAACTCGTAAACAATACAGTAGCAATAAATTCAATTTTATTGTTTTCACATTTAAAATATTTCTGGAATGATATATGAATATTATTACTGCATTTATAACATGGCTTAGAACTACTAGCCATGTGAATTTTGAACCGGTGTTATACATATATCAAGTTAACGTTGAGACTAACTTAGTTATAACTTTCTTAAGATGCTTGCTAGTTGGTTGTACAAATTAGTGTTTAAATTAAGGTACTGTACACCTAAGTACTTTATTTCTAAAGTTATACGACAGCATTTTTAATGGGAACATAATATAAGTTCACTCGATGTATACAACGTTAGAGGCAGAATACCAGTGTTTCAATTTACTTTTTAGACCATAACACTTTTACTGTTGCTTCTCTTTCCTGCAAACGCGAAAGTGCAGAGGTAAAATAACAAAGGGATATTAAAAGTTACGTAACAAATAAAATGGAACAGAGTTAAAATTGCAGATGAACATGGTAAAGCAACGTTTTTTCAGGAAGTTAAGTGGCGTATACCGTTGAATAAATTATTCATAATGTAAGCAATAAAACGCTCCCTAACGTAACGCTTAACCTTTTTAAAATTCTCTTTTACAGCGCGGTGTTTGTATTTACGTGAAAATATCGGTGAATCTTCTACTGAACGTGCTTCTTACTCTGTTTGGGCTTACTTCGTTTAATTTCATTAACTTAGACTATGCAACTGACAGTATCGCAATTGGCAATTTCTTGTGTTATATTTTTTATAGTAAATGTTACTTGATATTCAAACAGCGTCTAAAGAATTATTAATCCTTTAGACGCTGCTTGATTGTTGTGTTTTGTTTGTAAGGACTTTTATTTATCTTATGCGTTCCCATGACCCTTGTCACGATGGACACAGTTTCCTTACAAACTGGATATTAATGTAAGACAAAAGGATCGCACGATGTTTAATTTATGACCGCCACTGTTTCGTATTGTAGGAGCGTATTACGTATTTGAATGTTTTTGTTAATCTGATTTAGGTCGGGCTTTAGGATTTATTTTACAGTATTCTGTATATGTGTTTAGAATTTTAATGGCAACATTTTTAACATAAGTTATCTATTCTTTTACGTTTATTTCTTAAAGTTATTGATTACTTGGTCATCTAATACTAACACAACTAATGCTACGATATCACTTTAAATGTTAAACAATTAAAGTATAATTTAATCTGTTTGATGAACAATTTCACAAAATGTTGAATTGATAAATGATATTTCAGACAACTCTTTTATCGAAATTGAATTACTGCACCGAATAACAACTGTGAAATAAACTCGATAGAATCATGGAAACTGTCGACGTGAAATTGTATTTTCCAGTGAAATGATTTTGATCAGCTTTGTATCGTGCGGTAATTATAAATGAATAATTAAATGTTTCATCATTTATGCACATCAATTCACTTATTTCATTTTAAACATTTCGACGATTGTAAAAAAAAATGTAATAAAAAATATGAATGTTCAAAATAACGTTGATATAGTTAAGGAAGAAATATAACACTAGAAAGTTAACGAAATTGAAAGAACGAACCTCTTTTTTTCATTTTAAAATTACCATAGACATCTATACCCGGGTATGGCTTTATTATTTATACATAGGGCAACCTACTTTATAAATGTTTGCCTTAGTAACTGGCACGCGCAGTGTTTGTCCTTTCACAAACTAGTACAATGGTTTAGAACGTGTACTTTAGTATAGGATTTAGGCCTACCACCCATTGAGAAATTAATGGAGGTTGATCAAAAGATTACAAACTAACCGACTTCTGTTGTAAAATGTATTCATTATTAGCAAAAGCGGCGAGTTCTAATCGGTCTTCAGGCTCTATTTCTTTTTCTAATGTTTATTTTTAACTAGCTGTTCACGTGCGGCTTCATCCGTATGTAAATTTAAAAACTTTTTTTTTACGACTTCCCAAAAGATGGAGGTACTCAATTCGTCTGTATTTTTTTTATTGTTTACATTTGTCAAATTTTCAATTACAAATGTCAAAATACCAAATTACCTTACCACGGCAATCTTGCTTCCTTGGTGTTGGCAGCTTGTAGCT